TACGCCCTAAATTTTTAGAAGGCTCTACAATTTTAGGTACATCACTAGCCCAAAAAAAAAAATTAAATCAATTAAATTTTAAACCTTACAAAAAAGCCTTAAAAAATTAAATTTAATCAAAATTTTTATTGCAATAATTTGAGTCTATAATCCAATCTATATCATTAAAAACTTAGAAATTAAAAAAATTAAAAAAAATACTCAAAAGTCAACTCATATTTATTTTCTCTCTCTCTCTCTCTCTCTCTCGTAAAAAAGGTCAAAAAAAAATAAATGTTGAAATTAAATACTCTCTCTCTTTCTGTGATAAAAAATAAATAAAAGTTGAAATCTTTTTCTCGACAACAGTAACATACATTTCTTTTGTCTCCCTCTCACATAAAAAATTAAAAATAAATTAATTTTTTAAAAAAATAATACTAAAAATTAAAAGACCTTCATTTAATATTACCGATTTAGGTTTTAAATGGACATGAGCCGCCCTGCTTTTCCTTCGTGGCTAACAATGACGGGGGCTACATGAATGGATTAGTTAAGGCTAATTTGGATCCTCTAACGTTAGGTGGGTGGATGAGATGGTTGGTTGAGTCTTAACCTACTAATTGATCTCATTATCAATCATTCTCCACACCCCTATCGAACTTGTAAGGTAATACAGCTATGATCGTGTTCCTTCATACAAGTCTTTCCCTTGGGCCCAACAAAAAAAATACAAGTCTTTTCTGGACTTATCTCAATGCACAGTTCATCAACTTGACTTGATATGTTAACCACTCTCCCTCTAAGAATTCTATGGTCAAGAAATACACATCCTCATTCATATATAGCCATAAACAGCACGTCATAGACAAATTCCCGCTTACTTCCTTGTCTTAAATTGAATGATAACGAACTATTAGAAGAACTACTAGAAACCCGTCGAAGAAGTTAGTCAAAATAGAGAATTTAGAACATTTTAGTGAATCAGATCTAGAGATCATGACCAGCAATATGAGTCACCAATGCACTAAGAACTCTCTCAATGATGGGCGACAATGAAGAGTCTATTGACTCAAACTCCCAACTGAACCCTACAAGGCTACAACCCAAGCCAAAATTTGTGATGATACGATGATATTCGAAATGGACATAATCAATTCGAAGATTTTATAAATTATTATTTCGAAATCTCAAGTTTTTCTTTAATAAGAATGGTTTAGATCATCTGTTATGCATTGCATAATAACCATGAACTCAAAACCAAGTGTGTGGTTTTTTTTTTATTTATGGTTTTTACTTATTTTAAAAAAAGGATTTATTTTAAATTATTGCACTGCAATTTGACCTCATAAACTTTACCTCCCCATATTGTAACAATTTACGCATAACTCCTTGTGATCTGGCACTAAAACTCAACAGCTAACAGATTCAATAATTTAATATAAAGAAATAATAATACCCTTTATCTTATTTAATTTTGCCAAGAGTTTTATGCAACTAAAAAGCTATTCAATGCACATCAAGGGAATAGAGAGGAAATAGATTGATTTGTATTAGAGAGATAGAAAAAAAAATAAAAATTAAAATGTAAAAGGGTATAAAAGTCATTTTACCATGTTATTTTATTAAACACATAAAATTTTGATATTTGGCTGTTAATTTTAAAAGAATTGAACCATTTAAGTTATTTGTAAGTTATTGAGAAAATAATCCTCCTTATCAAGGATGGGATTAGCTATTACTCACCGATGCACAGAGAGTAGGGATGGCAATGGACTGAATAAAAATGGATATTCGTCAAAACTCATTTCGTTTGGATCAGGGATAAACCATATGTATTTAACGGCGAACATATACGAGGATACCCGTATAAAATTGTGCGGAGATGAAGGCGGGGATGGACTGACATTTATCCTCGCCCTCGCCCCGCTTTATCTGTTATTATTATTATTATTATTTTATATATATACATGTTGTTGTAAATACAAATCTACATATTATTGAATAATTTTTTATTTTAAAAATTATTTTATTTTTTAACTTTTTTTTTTTTTTTCATGTTTTTGGTTTGTAAAAGTGTAAATTTTTGTGTTTTTATATTTTTTTATGTTGGATTATGTTATGTTAGATTATGTTGTGTTGCATTATATTGTGTTAGATTTATATAAGAGACAATATTTTAATTATATTATGTTGGATTATGTTGTAAATGACAAGTTTTTAATTATGTTATGATATTCTATAATTATGTTGAATTATTTAAAATGTTAAATTTATTTAAAATTTTGGATTATGTTGGCTTGAGCTTAGGTTGGGGCGGGTAAGGTTGACAGAGGCAGGGGCAAGGGCGGGTATTACAAATTTACCCGCGGGTGGAAATGGAGATAAAAAATATAACATTTAACGGGGGGTGGGCCGGGATGAACAGAATTTTTTTAAGCACGTACAGGGATGGAGACAACACCCTCGTCCATGCTTCGGTCCACTGTTATCCCTAACAGAGAGATTTGCGATATTAAAGAAATTTACCATAAGAGCAACTCGAAGGATACTGGCTAAAATAACAAGTCAAAATATATTTTTTTATTACACTATCTATTTTAAAGAGTAACTTATACTAATTCACTCCAACAACATTTTCTATTTTAATTAACTATTTCAACTAACTCACAAATTCTTAAAACAAAAATTTGAAATTACAACCACAATTCACAAATTCAACCACAATTCACAAATTCAACCACAAATTCACAAATTTAACTACAATTCACAAATTTAATTACAATTCACAAATTTCATAGTATATATTTCACAAATTCACAACTCTTTAACTTAAAATGGGTTCGATTTCGGTTGATTTTCTAATTTCAAATACAGTTCAGTAGTTTCATCCACTTCTAATTTCTTCTCTCCAACCAACCCGAACAGAGCGAGACAAATAAAGGGAGATGGGTTGGGTTTCAGTCAATTGAGAAAGAGAGAGAGAGAGAGAGAGAGGTGGTTTTTTGGTCAGGTTTCAATGGGATTTTTTGGTCTTTTTGGTGAATTTTTCAATGGATTTTTTGTGCATTTTTTAGTAGGAACAAAGAGAGAGAGAGAGAGAGAGAGAGAGGTATATATATATATGATTTCTATGGTATAGCCTTTGTGTGGTTGAGAAGGCGATGTGTGAAGACGAAGAGAGACAGAGACAAAGAGCATACCTTCAATGGACGATGAAGTTTCTGTGTGGTTGATGAAGACGATGAGCAAAGAGAAATGAGAAAATTGGGAGTGTTGTGAAGTGAAGAAATTGGCGCAAAAATCGAACACTGAACTTTTGTGGCTCACCAGAAATAATTAGAGAAATAGGGGTTATGGGAAATAACTAGTGGGATAACTGGTCTGTTGGAGACAAAATTTAGGGAGGGGCTCTTTAAAATAGCTAAGAAGAGCCTTTTATGGAGCCCCTTAAAGTTGCTCTAAAGAAAGTAGTCAAGCAACGAGAGATGTGGATAAAATCTACCATAAAGAAATTAGGATGCTATAGAAATGCAAGAACTTTGCTTGTTTGTGTATTTATAATTCTTTTAATTAATTAGACATAAGATTGTCATTTTCATAAAATAGACAGATTTGGAATAGATTTGGCATATACAGATATATATATATTTTTCGTGTATATCTAATAATAAAGTAAGGAAGTTGAATTGTCCACTTCTAAAAATACAATGGTGAAAATTAATTCAATTTTAATCTACTTTGATTCAATGGTACAAAATTTATCTCCAATTTTTTTTTCCGGTTCAAAAATATCACCTTCTTTTTATGGTTCCCAATCTAAGACAATTTAACTAACATACTCTCTAATACTAAACAATCATTCTAATTTACACCTACTTTTCTCTTCTCTTTCTGTTCACTGTTATGTTAAATTGCTCAATTAAATAATAAATATTGTATGATCAACATTAATTATTGATATTACAAAATATCTTTAGGTATGAGATTATTGCTAATGTATGTACGTGAAATGTATTATGCAATTGGGCATTTATTAAATTTAGTGGGCTAAAATCCTTTGAGGCCCTCAATGTTTTGCATGTTTAGTTAGCTAAAAAGGCCGGTCTAGTCCATTAGCCCATTGCCAAGCAGCAATAATTTTATTACTATTGGTTGTTCTTGTCTAACCCATCCAATTAGAGCAATCCACTCTTCAATTTGTTTGATTTAAATCAGTCAGTATTAATTTAATTTCTACTCATCATATTTGAGTGAACAATGCAATTGGAATATAATTTATGGACATAATGAGTTATCACCAATGATATGATATTGAATTCATTAATGCTACAATGAGACCCATCATTAAATATATTTCACTATCATTTTATTAGTGACAACTTGTTATATTCTCAAATTATGTCCCAATAGCATTAGTGTTAAAAAAATAATTGATAAGAAAAGTAATTTTGGTATCATAATAAAATACTTATCATTTATACGTATCATATTTTTGTTTGACAAAAAATATATATATATTGTCGAAAAACAACTTTTTATACCATAGTTGGACCTAGGGTAGTTAGTCGAACGTGTCTGAGCCAAGCTTTAAAAGTTTGTTTTATAATCGAGTTTAAAAAATTATTCAAGTTTGACTCGTTGAAGAAACGAGCCGAGTCTGAACGAACCAAAAATAAGTCGAGCCCGAACCGAGCTCGAGTATTTGCATATAAACGAGTCGAGCTTGTAGGACTTATTTTCTAAACAACATTAAAAACTTATTTAAGTTCGGACTTGTTTAAAAAACGAATCGAGTCTGAACGAGTCGAATTCAAATCAAGTTCGAATAGCAGATTAACGGTCCCAGTACTTAGACCCTAATAAAAGAATGTTTCTCGATTACATTGCTACATGCCTTCAAACTTACGACAATTATTCTTTCTAATTTTTTAATTAGTGTAATTCAAACAAATTTAGTACATGTTGATTAGTTATCAGAAGTCGGACTCTGTTACTGAGAATTTATTTTGTAGCATTATGATTTTTGGATGACTATTAACATTTTGACCCCTAGGCTCACCACCATCTGTGGGATAGTGAACCTCAGCTGGGTCCTGACTCTGCACTGTCGATAAGGCTGCAAAACCTCAAACGCTTAGAAGGATTACAAGGAGAGAGAGTTTGGAGAAAGAGAGAACGAATGGCTTGTGTATCAGTGGGAACATGGCTCTATCCAAGGGATGGTGGCATACAAACTCGCGGCCCCTCAGCTTCACTGACTCTCCTCACTGGTTCCAGAACAGGGACCTCTGTGTCTATGGCTACAAAGACCCAAAGTCGTTCTGGGCGGCTTCGTTGCTTCTTTGTCCCTTCTTCTTCTTCTCTTTCTCTCTCATCCACCTCTTCCTTCTCAGGTAACCTATAAGAATTCAAATCTATTCTGCCCATTTGCATTCATCAATGTACAAGAGGGAAACCCACAAATTTACCTGAAATTCATGTTATTTGGTGAATTTTGGTTAATGGGTGTATCTCATCTTGTATCATGTGCGGAAGTATGGAGGCTTTCTTGGTGGTTACAGTGAAGTTTGGGCATATTTCTACATTTGGTTCCTTTCATTTGTTGATTTTGGTTTATCTGTGATTGTTGAAATTTAATATCTTTATGGATCGATTGGTTTATCATTGAAATTTAAGTGCATATCTGTGCTTTTATGTTTGTGGAAGGTGTATTGTTGAAATGATGGTGATATGACACCTCTTACATTGTGTTGCTTGTTGCAATAACATATGGGTGCGCTTTGTTGATAAGAATTTCACACTCTCTCAGAATGATGGAATGTGTTTCAACTATTGAGTTTGATTCTTGAAACAATTAGGCTATAAACATTGTAGATTGCTTTAGGTGGTTTGGACATATCTATAGACGGCTTACTAGTGATATAATAGCTATTGAAGGTAATCGTAGGGATAGAGATAGGCTAAAATTAATTTTAAGTGAAACCGTAAAGAAAGATATGATAACTTATGGTTTAATAGAAAACATAACTCATGATAGAGCACAATGGCAAAAAAAGGTTCATGTAGCTGACTCTAAAAATATTGAAATAAGACTTTGTTGAATTGAGTTGAGTAGTATTATGAATGTTACTCATTTCAGATTATTCAAATTACTATATAAACAAAGTATACTGGTAATACACTAAACAAATCGGTCACTCTTAAATTGCAGGTTTATCATTGGGGTTGGGTTTGAATTCTGGCGTTGGGGTGAGACCAAACAAAGGCCGTGGTTTAGTGGTGAGGGCAGGCAAACCGGCTCTTTGTTTGACTAAGAGGAACAGATCTCGGAAGTCTCTAGCTCGAACTCATGGCTTTCGGAAGAGAATGAGTACAACCAGTGGAAGGGCATTGATAAAGCGCCGGCGTGCCAAGGGGCGATGGGTCCTCTGCCCAAAGTCCAACCACAACAGTGGGAAACGTCCTTGAATCTCATCTTTTTTAATCAGTTACAGTAGGTAATTTCAATGATTTGATGACTCTACTGGTTGATTGTTGTAAACTTGATTGTGTTACAAGCTTTTATCTAACAAGGGCTTTTCTTCATTTTTTCAATTGTTCCATTTAAGAGGTTTCTTTTGTTAATTTGAGTCTATTGTCTTTGTGTTGATCACATTTCTTTGTACTTGTTTTGTGCTTATGTCAGTGGTTTTTAGTGGGGTTACCCATCAAACCAAGTATATAAAGTGACAAGCCCCTTGTGAACAAAACATTCCTACAATCTTCATGTGTTACATGTTGTCCTTTTGATGTTTTGAAAACTACTACGAGTTACATTTATTATTTAGGGTTGAATATGTTTTGTGGCAGTTAATTTAATTACATGATAGAGCCAATAGAGTATTGATTTATGGAGTCAATTGTATAATTCAAAACTGAAATTTTGTGTTACTTGTTGCTGTTCGTTTTTTGTATGTAGATGTGGAATCCCCTACTCGTTATTAAGTTTAGATTATTGATAATTTGCATAGGTTCCTGATCTACTAGGTCTTTTGGTCTAAGACACTGCACCAACCATTCTCTCTTGTTCATGCAATGGAATAACAGTTAGCATTGTCTCTTCAATGCTTTGCGTTGCCATTTCCCATGTTAGCTGGAGCATGAATTTGTTTCTGATAATACTTACTACAAACTGAGCAAGAAATTTCCATATCTTAGTCCTGCCTTTGCTAGTAATGGTAAAAATACTTGTCAGTTGCTTGTACCTTATGGTTGTGTTCGGCTAGTCTCAAATAGGAATAGATAGAGTTTATCTGAGGTTAGCCAAAACAATAGACACCTAGAAGGGAGCATAGTCTCTTTGCTTATTGCCTTGGTGCTAGCCCATGCTTATAGGCACTTGGGATCAGCCAATTCTGATGTCACACATCACATGTCATTGACACTGTGTGACTCTAAGACCGTCCATGGACTGTAGATAATCAACATAGAGTAAAACACCACACAGATACAAGAAAATGAACTGGCTGAGGTCCTGCAGAGGCTCAGTGGACTTAACCAGTGGTTGGTTCTATTCAGGCTGTGGGATAGGAAGCATCCATGGTAATGCCATACAGGCCTTCACTAGCATCAATGCCTGTTTCCACACCCCAGCTAGTACCCCATGAGTTCTTCACAAGCCAATACTTGGTACCATCAACAGTGGTCCCGTACCCGACTGCTGTAACACCATGGCACAGCTCAGTCCCCCAGTCTCAAGTAAAAACACTGCTTGAGTAAAACTGGAAGACGGATCCACTAGCATCAATGGCAACACATGCTGGTTGGTTCACCACAGCCTTTTTACAGTTCCAACTCACCATTGGCAGGCACGTCTTCATAGCCAGTGATCTTGGCTGCATGTATGGGAGGATGCCTTCTGAGCATTGCAAGTTCCATTGTCGCCTGCATAGGGGTAGTTGGACTTTGTAGCGAGGCCATTGTTGTTTATTATGAATTCAAATGCGTCGTCTATAAGACCACCCTCACAACCTTGATCTTAACCATCTGTGTCGCAGTCCACTAGTTCTTGCTCAGACAATGAGATTAATTTATGATTTTGAGCTTGTAGATCCCTTCTGTAGCTGCTACAGCTGAAAATGCCCAGCAACACCCTACATTTTCTTCTGTCTGGATGTGCCATTATCATACCTCTGTGTCCAATGTATTGTCAGGATCCTTCGGATTGAAAATGGATTTTGATTCATTTTAGAGAGTACGACGATGAAAATGGAGCCTGTTATATAGATATAAACAGATTAAAATATTATTGATATGCATTTTTATGTTTTTTTTTTATTGATAACGTAACGATATAATCTTTGAAATTCCTGTGGTATTTAATGGTTCCATTGGCATTCTTTACCCATTGATATAAGATTCCTCACCTAAAATTGGGCCCTTTTGGAAAATAAGGTGCCGCACCTATTTCCTGGGGGATTAATAAATTTTATGTTTGGTGAAGGATAGAATCCATATTGTGTGTTAAACAAGAGATGGTTGCCAGTTACTACAGAACTCAAATAATGTAGAAATTCTGACAAAAAAAATGAGACATTTCATGCCTTAGGATAGTGCTTTGTTGTGCTAGGTCATTGGCATATCCTTTTTTGCCTTTATTTGACCCCAAGAATGGATTAGATCGAAATGACTTTCTTGTCAAAGCCCTTTCTGACCGCTCACAATCTCCATAGCCAATTTTTCAATTTTGATTATGAAATCAGAAGGTGTTGCCTTTGATACTACTATTATTTTACACGATCCAAGAACTTCCATAATGTTGGCGTAATTCAGTTTGAGCGATGAATCCTGACGCGATACATCTTTGTAATGAAAATATAGTTTACATTAAGCTATGTCGAATGTTAATGAGGCCACACAGCCAAGGATGGGGCAATCAGATATGACCTTATTTTTTCTAATGAATTTAAAAGATACGTGTGTGTGTGTGTGTGAGAGAGAGAGAGAGAGAGAGAGAGAGAGAGAGCAAAAAATGAAATTACATTGCAAAACATAAAAGCTGGCATTCTATACAATTTATGACAGCACAGTGCATTCTATACATTATATGATTTGCCTTCCGCAATCTAATCAAAGACAATGAAAACTACTGTTTTCTAATTTTCAAATTTAACAACCAATTGTATTCTGAATCAAAGAAAGAAATTGGCCTCCAATGCATCCTGAGGCATAAAATTGCTGCAATGTACCTGTGGCATTAAACATCATTTCAAGTTTTCTTACTGAAATTTCAAAGTTCGAGCAGAAGTGACATCCTGAGGAAATTAAACGCGTGAAGAATAGAGTATATATAGAGTAAGTACTGTCCAAGATTAAAGTGGCAGATACCTGAGACAATATGGAGATGAAAAGAACAAAAATTCATAGTCAGATGAAAATTTCTTGACTTGCTGTAGATTGCTATTGGCACTGTCCAAGATTGACTATGCCCCGGTGACATTCCAGCTCATGCGTCCACTTAACATATCGGCAAGAGCTTGTATCAATGATTTTGGGTCAAAAATTATACCCACTTTAGGATCATGCATTGAATCAACAGTGATCTGCAAGTTTTAGATTTGATCAAGTTATCAGATTGATAACAAACAAACAAGTACTAGGTCAACATTGCACAAAGTAGATGGAAACTATATGAAAAACAGAGCAGTTTTTCGTTCCCTAGATTCTACAGGCAGCAATGGCCACTGATTAGAGCAATGGTAAATTGTTCAGCTGACAAGCATGAAAACCCGGATTGAAGAGATGGTATTTGTACCAAATCTCTGCAGTATGCAGCAGTTTTGGGACCAACACTAAAGCAATGGTCTCTAATTTAACATCGATAGAAGACATGGATTAAAAACCAAAAGACTTGCTAAAAATGTTTATATACATGACCTCCAACTAACATCCAGCAAGCTTTTTGAAGTTTTTTCTTTGTTCAATACTTTAAGAGGGTGCTTTGCACTCCCTTATATTTCTAGTTTCTCCGTTGTTTTCCATCTCTTTCCACACACACATGCCAT